TTTTAAAGAAGTGTTGTTTCTCTGTTTAAACAATCATTCAGTTTAAACTTTAGCTCACATAAAAGCAACGTGTGGCGTCTCACGTGTTTTGTATCAGGTAACTCTCTCACCTGGATGCCGAAGCCCGGCCCAGGAGCGAAMGCTTTGACCCCGAGCTGGACCGAGAGGTTTCTGGGAACGCTCCAGCTCAGGCCGTCGTCCACGCTCTCCACCATCATGGTGCTGGCCGGGCTGCAGTGGTACAGGTGGAAGCAGTAGGAGTAGATCAGGATGACCGAACCGGYTTCCTCGTCCACCACCACCGAGCCCAGGTTCAGGCCGTTTGGGTGGTACGCGTCGTCGACGATGAAGGCGGTCGGGGACCAGGTGTTTCCTGGAGGAGAAGACGAATTAGACGCAACACTTTAAAACCTGATAAGTTTTAATCTCGTGCGAAAGTAAAGATYGTTGCGAGGGTCCTGCCTTTGTCGGTCGACCGTCTCATTGCGAGGAACTTCGCTCCGATGTCGCCGGACGACAACTTCCTGGCCTCGCTGAACGCCAGCAGGCTCCCTTTGGGGGTGAAGGTGATGAGGGGGATCCTGTAGGTGTTGACATCCCCCTGGGCTCCGCTGATCCACAGCAGCTCCTCCACGTAAACTAAAGGATTAATCTGGAGGTCAAGGGGAACGTAAGGTTAGATATTTATACGTAAAACCTTGAAGCAGGTTCGTATGAGAAATATCAATCTAGTTTGGTGATAAGCTCAGCCCCAAATCAGATTGAGTCATTACGATTAAAAAAAAAACTTGAATTCAGGCCCAGACCATAAAACACCTCCACCGTGCTTTATTATTGCCCGTTGACACACTTTACCTTTCATAGTTTCTTTTTTAAAGATGTATTTCTTTTAGAAAATGCCTAGTGTTTACTTTACTGTTTTATTACCATCTAAAAACTGAGACATCAAAAAAGTTTCAACGCTTTATACTTTTATTCCCGGCATTAAAGAGAAAATATTAATTCTGCACATGTATTTAATAAGGTGTTACACATTAAATAACAGTTTTATTTACCTGTGCAGAGTTGAAAACACACAAACACGGTGACAGCAGGAAAAACACCGAGAACATCTGACTTCCGGTTCCCATCTTGGAAACTCAGCATTTACAAACTTTTTTATCCCGCTCCGACCAAAAAAATTAAAAATAAAAACATGAGCCGAGAGTCAAAATGCTTCCATGCGTCCATAAAATGGCGAGCTAACTAAATCTGTTATCATTTTACAATCAGTTTTAGCCGGGTTCATCATGTGACTATTGCGTTTGGTCGCGTGACTACCAACACTTACCAAAATAAAAGCACCTTATAAAAATGTCTTTCTCCCAGAACTGTTATTTTTTAATTTCCTCAATTATTTTTTCATAAAGTGACATGT